TATTTTTTTTAAAATATAATTTTATTTTTATTTTTTAAAATTATGTGATTAACAAATTCCATTACTTCATTAATCAATTTTTTATACTTTATTAATCAAATTTGTTTTAATACTAAAAATTATTTTTACTATCTAGGCGTTTATTAACAAACTTCATCACTTCATTAACCAACTTGTTACATTTCATTAACCAACTTTGTTTTACTACTAAAAATTATTTTTAATATCGGGAAATTTATTAACCAATTCCATCACTTCATTAACCAACTTTTTACACTTCATTAACCAACTTTATTTTATCACTAAATATCATTTTTCGCGACACTGTTTATGGATATTATTCACATGACACTGTTCATGATATTGTTCATGTTACTATTCATAAATATATTTTTTATTTAAAAAAAATACGGTTTCACCGTATAAATACGTTGAACAATGTTTTGGTGTAAGTATTGGTGTAAATTGTAGTGTATGAATAACATTCATGTTTATTTTAATTATCTAGTGATTGTTGATTATGCGACATCAGAGTCTAACTACCGTTATATGACTAGTCTTCACATGAGGAAGGAATGGCTTCTAACGATTCACTAAACACCAACATCCTTTAATGGAGAAGGATATTCTTTGTGGAAAGAGAAGATGAAAATTTTCATGGAGGAGATAAATTATGATATTTGTAAAACTGTTAAAATGGTCATTTTGTTTCCACACATCAAGTTAATGGTGTTGTAGGAAAGAAACATAAATAAGTTTAAATCAAAGACGAAAAGGAAAAATTGCAATACAATTTTAAAGCAAAAACTACTATCACTACCGCTCTTAGGATTGATGAGTTTTTGTGTGTGTGACTGCAAAAGAAATGTAAGACACCCTTCAGATTATCCATGAAGGCACGACTAAGATAAAAGGGTTAGAATAAACATATTGACCTATGAGTAAAAAATTATTTAGAATGAAACTTCATGAAAATATTTAAACTATGAGTAAAGTTTTTCAAAATGAGGATTTGGTTGTTAATGTCCTTAGACGCTTACACTTTAGTTGACAACCTAAAGTCACCGTAACTTATGAATCTAAAGGCCCGTATTCTATGGATTTGACTATCTTGTTTGGAAAATTGCAGGAACATGAAATATAATCAAAAAATGCTAGCTAACAATGAAGAAGGCAATGAAGAAAAGTTTTGCACTAAAATTTACAAAAGTCAAAGACATTGAGTCTATATGAAGATTGTAAAAGAGAAAGTGATGAAGACATGGATCTTATATTTAGAGAAAATCAAGAAATTCCTAAGGAACAAAAAAATACTCCAAATTTCTGAAGCAAAGTAAAAAAAGATCAACTTCAATTCCAATTTTCTTCCGATGCATAAAGAAAGATCACATGAAGCTAGAATATTTATAAAATCAAAGAAAATCTAAAAGGTACAAAAGACTACAAAATAATTCAATGAAAGCTTACACTGCGTGGAATGAAAATGATATGGATTCTTCCTATGAATATGAAAAAGAGTAAGAAACTAACCACAAAAAACGAGGTAAATAATCTAACTTCTGAATTTACTTGTAAAATATTTATTTCAAATTTGTAAAAAAGCAAGATAGCGAGTCAAGTAAATTAAAAAAGTATTTTTTTCTCTCTAAGTTTACTATTTATTCTCTTGAAAACAAAAATCTAAACATGGAAGAAATAAAATGTCTTAGAGAAAAACACAGTATTTTAAATTCAAAAATCTCCTTCACTTTCTTCTCCTTCTTATGGAACCTTCGAGGAACCTATCAAATAAGAGAAATGCAACCTTTTAGAAAATAAAATTGATGGTTTGCATTAAATACTTGATAAATTTACCAAAGGAAGAGATAACTTGAATCTCATGCTAGATAATCAAAGAACAACCTATAATAAAATTGATATAGGTGATGAGCCTAAAATCAACGTTAAGGGTTTTAGTAATATATGTCATGGTAATAAAAAATCTAAATGTAATATGCTTAAGTGTAATAATTGTGTAATAATTCTAATAAAAATGTCATATTGCTCTATTTTGATTTGTTAGAAAAAGTTAAGAAAGTAAAAAAGTATATCCACACTCTCACTTTTATAAAGAATATAATAAAAAGAATATGAGAAATATTGTTTCATCTTATTTTTGTGATCAAGATTTTAGTCAGAAACATGGAGATAATATGCGTTCCACTAATACAAGAGGACTCAAAAATATTTGGATACTGTTCTAGACTGGCCAAATGCCCATTTTACCAAGGCCTAATCTGTCAAAAGCCTATTATACTCGACCCAACATATAAAAACAATTCACTTTCTATAAGAAGATATACAATCTCTGATCTCTAATTTCACTATACTCATTTTGAATCATGAATTGACTTGGATGTTAGAGTGCTAACCATGCAGGTCCAACATGCGCCACTGTAAAAGAGATTGGAGTCATCATTCAAAATCAACAATTATCCAATTTTCTTCATTTATGGTTCCTTCACGGAGCTTTAGCATCCATTTATGGTTTCAGGTCAGAACAGTGGCGCCTTCTATAAGAATCGACTTCTAATTCCCGTGTTTTTATGAAAATCCCTATCACTTTGCAAAACATTATCGAACGTACTCTGAAACTTTAGATCTGAAATCTTACAATTCAGATCCAAATATATGATCCCAATCAGAAATGAATTCAATTTTCGGTTCCAACAATTTTCACGAATCACGTTCGCGTCTCAGCTCCTCCAGATCTCAAAATCAATAGCATTTAGAAGAAATCATGGAGATCTACTACAATCAACTCAGTCAATCATTGTCTTTGCCTTAATTCCTCGTTGTCAAGGTCCTTAACTTCCTCTAGAAATTTGTGGAATAATGGAAGACATGATTACAAATCCAAATCTAGGGTTGCACTGGGGTCTGAAGGAGAATTCAATGAAGGACGAGTTAAAGCCTCATCACCCACTATCTGATTTGGCTGCACCCATACTTCCCACTATTGTCAGGGTGATTACGATGTTGAATTTAGAAAGATACCATAAGTTTGTAGTTAATATCAGGCGTAGAATGGGTTCCAGGATACCCACTATCAGTACCAAAGAATCTTAGACCTACATCCAAAGTCCCCTAGCCAATTCCAATAAATCAGGGAGAAACATGTCGGTTCAAATGCGTTGTCTAGGCGGGATACCTGTTGATTCTAGAGACGGTTTCTTGATGTACAACCCTATCATTACTATCATGGGGAAACACGTCAAGAAGGATAAGGCTTTGGACCCGGAGAAATCTAGAGTGAAGGAGATAAAAGGGGTTTATCAACCATGCAATCAGAGTGAAGGCACCCCGACACCCTGAGTTTTATTTGTGAAGGGAATGAGTAAATCGTAACTCTGAGCTCCCACCAGAATAGGTTCCCCAAAGGAAATACTAAATGGGAAAGGCAACTATCATTCCTCCAAGGTCGAAAAAGCCGACCAACCAAAAGTTTTAGATAAATAAATGCAAGGCAAGACACCTCGGAAACCGTCCAACCAAATGGACACTTCAGAGTGCAACGAATACTCAATCCGGATTTCCAGGAGAAAGGAAATGATCAAAGACCTCGAACTCTGTCTGACCACTCTGAGGTCACTGATGAAGGTTATCTAGCTAATCCCAAGGCATGTGTTTTAGAAGACTTAATGCATCTTTACAAATTTGATAGGAATCAAACACACACCTAACATCTGAGGCTTATTAAACAAACTTCTCAGTAGCCGGCGCACCCCCGGATCTAGCCAATCCCAAGGTGTAGGTGGTGGACCCTGGAGACTTCCACCTTGATCCAAGCCTAGCCTCATGGGAAATGACGGGGATTCTACACTTGTCTTGGGAACCGTCCTCTATAACACGGAGAACAATTCAAAATACGATTACGTAACCTTGACTTCAACGATCACAAGCATCTCCCAGAAAGTGAAAACAACTTTCCAAATCTGATATATGTATATTCAAAGCAATACAATATTACAACATATTCTAAAGACATATAGCAAATATAACAACAACAAAAAATGATAGCTGACGCCCGTCAATGCACCGAGTTGCAAAAGATCAAGGAAAGTTTCATAGGCATATCTGCCACCCCATCACAATTAAATAAGTTGCTTCTTTCGTAAATTAAAGCAATAAAGACTCTCACGCCCACAACAAATATTACACCATTATAGACGAACATCGTTGGTTTGGCCTAAATTCTAAAGTAAATAAAGACTTTGCAACTAAAGAAAGAAAACCTAGAGATATAACCAATCATGAACAACGATGATGATAAAGTAAAAACTGGTGCAAATCTCTAAAGCTAAGAACACTTGGAACATCAAGGTAAAATATTTCATTAAAAAATTAAAATATTATTACACCCAAGGCACAAAATCTTGGGAATCTTTACAAGAAATAAATAATACATAGAAAAAAGAAAATCAAGCTAGATAATTTGAAGCTGAAGCACTAGGCCCCCTCCCTGATTGACACCAGAAGTAGAATTAAATGGATCTAACACCTCTGCAGAAATTACAACATCAGGGAAGAACTTCCTCGCCTGCACGTCCATCATAGTATGTTGAAGAGTATCATGAAATGCCCAGTCAAGACTGTCCACCTCGCCTTAGAGAGCTTTCAAAGACTCTGCATATTTTTGGCACCTTTCCACTTGGTAAGCCTTTTCGTCAATGGAATTAGAAGAAGCCTTGTATTGTTTCTCTGCATCACAGAGGGTCTTTTCGACACTTTTCCACTTGGTGAGCCTTTTCGTCAATGGAATTAGAAAAATCCTTGTATTTCTTCTCTGCATCTTAGGGGGGACCCTCCAGCTCAATCACACGAGCTTCCAGGATAGAAGGAGAGCTATGTACTTTCATTGACTCTTGCAAAGATTTAGCAGCTTTAACTTACTTCAGCAGCATAAGAAGCTCATTTTAAAGATTGGTGCACTTCAGCTCCATAGTTTCAGCCTTCCCCTTTCAAGTATCCCTCTCCTTCAAGGGACTATCTGGGGAAGGAACATCATCATGTCCAGTAGAGATGGAATAAAAAATAGAAGCAACTTTGAACATGCTATAAGCAACTTCATAGGCCATTTCTATCTTATCCCCCTCAGGGAGATTCTAGACGAAGGATAAATATGACGTCAAGGCAATATCAGTAGCCTCTTTAGGATTACTGGGGAGTCGGGAAGAGAAAATATTATGTTTCTTTATAAAGAGATTTATATCCCTGAAAGCTCCATCCTTAGTGACCCGAGTCTATTTTTGAGAAGCCCCGTCCTAGAGAGACAAATATTCTTCATCACAGGCTCTTTTTGATAAAACTGGAGGGGAGGATAGTTTGTCTACTATCAAAGTGGTTGTATCATCCATAAGATGATCCACCTCAAGCAGAGGAGATAAAGTAGCTACAGTCTGGGTAGGATAAGAGACCAGAACAAGAGTGGGATCAAGAAAAGAAATCCCAGTATTCATCATGGCCCCGATTCCCCGAGCATAGGCCAGGTTCTGAAACATGTGCAACTTGCTTATTTTGTATATGCTATATGCAAAACACAATGACACATGTAAAAAATCATGAAGGCTCCGTTCTCACCAAATAATTTTCTCGTCACCTCAATATTTTGTGCCCTCAAGATAACACAATTATCAATCCACCTTTTCCTCATTTCAGTAAGGGGCACCTCACTAGGGCAAAAATCTTCCTCATAGCCAATCCCTTGAAACTAGTGTTATACCCCAATTTTTGCCCCTAATATTTCTCTATCATATTATATCAACTCGATCATAACAAGATAACATTAGGGTTGGTTCTTTCTCTTTTTCTATCTCCTATCTTTAAGTTTGCTCTTGAGAAATCTCCAAGCACCTTAATTGTGTATTTTGTATATGTGTTGTTCACTAACTTCTAATCAAAATATAAAAAAATATTTGTCTTTGTCTTTGTATATTTTTGTTTTGTAGGTACCAAGTCGAAGCATCTGACAAATAAGGATTTCTGGTATTATTTTCCTAAAATCTCTATTTGCAAAGGAAAATTAACAAAAATTCATTTTTTTTTACTGATGCAATCGATTGCTCTTAGAGTGCATCGATTGCACATAGTGCATTTTGCGCCATTTTTTAAAAAAACACACTGTGCAAATTGATTTGCACTATAGTGCAATCGATTGCACATCGTGAAAATTTGAAAAAAATCAGCAATTTTAAACTTGTCAAATTTTGGCTCCAATTTTTCTTCATTTCTGAAAGATATATCGTTAATTAAAATTTTAGTACCAATCTTTCATTTTTAAGAAGAATTATCATTAATTCAAATTTTGGCTCTAATATTTGAAAGAATTATCATTAATTCAAATTTTGACTCCAAGAATCAATTACAAAATTACCACTAATCACAATCCTAAAACTCTATAAATAAGCCTCATTTCATTCAAATTTCAAGCTTTTGATAGCCAAATCCACCTTGCTAAAAAATCTCTCAATTCTCTCCATCTATCAAATTCACTCAAAGCTCCATTTTCAAAAAGCTAGTAAGCTTTGCATTGAAGCTTACTAATCTTTGAGCTAAACCTTCATCCAAACACTTTTTCTTTATCAATTCTCTACATCTAAGTTTGGGCAATTGATTCTTGTGGTTGAATTGAAGCAAATTCTTGAATTTGTTTTGATAATTCTTTAGATCTACCTTTGGTAAGTTGGATAATTCATCTTTCACAATGTGATCTCTTGTTGATCTTTGGGTTTGATTCATTGAGCATTATTTTGTGATTCCAATGGTGTTATTTTCTCATAATTTGATGGAATTTCCGTGCTCAATTGGATCCATGATCATAAGGTATTTGATGGAAAGTTTGAACAAGAATTTGGCCTTTTAAAATGTTGTTTTGCTGTCTGTAACAGTGTGCAATCGATTGCAGTAATAGTGCAATCGATTGCACAGAAGCAATTTCGCGCAGATATTTGAAAATTGTACTGTGTAAATCGATTTAAACTTTATTGCAATCGATTTACATATAAACATAATGTATTTTTGCCTTGTTTTGGGGCTGTTTTGATCCATAAATGATTTTCTACTCACTCCTTTTGATTGTTGGTTTGGATTATAAATTTAAATGTCCAATTTCTCTTTAAACTCAATGGACTTTGTGATGTAGATGAAGTTGGATAAATGTTCATCAATTCAAATCTACCTAAGAGTGAATTATTTAATTCATTTTTGGTGCTTTGGATTAATGATATGTTTAGTGTTTTAATCCATCTAGAGGAGTGGTTGAATTTAAAGATGAAATAATTTTGAGGTGGTGATCCAAATTAGCTTATCATTCCCCTCCCTCTTCATCTTATCCCTTTCTTTTTTAATTGTGCTACATGTTAAGGGATGATGATCTCTATATCATTTATCCAAACATAAAGTACATATATTGCTATTGACCGACCTCAAAATAGGTGTGACTTCTACATAAGTCCACTTACGATTGCTTAACATAGCGCTAAATTTTGTCCCGATTCGGATAAATGATCATTCGTGGCCCAAACCTATGTTTACAAGCCCAAGTATGTTAATTTGATCTCTTTTATCCAATAACCTTGAGATTCATTGTGTGGAGGCTTTGGTTCTACCAATTCTCTAATGGATCTTCATCAATTTTGGTCAACGCGGATCACTTAAACATCGTTGATCATTAAATGTTACTTTTGAGGATTCCAAAATGGATGATATACTTGACAAAAAGCAAATGTAACTCATTGTGTGGAGGCTTTGGTTCTACCAATCCTCTAATGAGTTCCAAATGCAAGTTTCAAGATGGTCATCCAACTAACCACTAATTTCTAACAATTGACTTTACTTTATGCTTTTATTTTTATGCTTTATGTACCATTTATTTTTAGCATTTTACATTTCATGCCATTTTTATTTTTGCTCACTTGAGCATTTACTTTTATGTAATTTTTATTTTGCTCACTTGAGCTTTTCTTTTCCTTTTAAAGACACTTAATAATCAACATGAACCATAAAAATCTTTAAAGATACTTGGACTATTTGGTTACTATCCTTGGCATTATGGAGTATTGGACTTCTTGGACTTAGGATTAGAGACCTTGGCCTATGTTGGAGACCTTGTGACCTTAATTCATATTTTGTCTGGAGCTCTTGAGGATTACCTCAAGACATTGGGTTATTTGTTTGTTTTGTGTGCAGGTTATTATGATTACATACTTTGTTTGTAATCTGGAATTCACCCGTATACAGCCGTCACTCTGCCCAATTTTTGTGAAGACTTAATATACTTGAAGTTTGGTTCTCTCAAGAGGTCTAGTATCTTTGCTTGCTTAATTTCAATCCGAAGAATGGGAATTCTATATTGACTCATAATGTCAAGTATTGGCTTCTTGTTGGTTAGATGTTTCTTATCCCTAGCTTTTACCTTATGCTTTAGGATAGTCTCTCCATCTCCTCCCATCTTCTTTAATTTCAAAAATCTTCTCCCTCCTTTTGAAAAATCTTCTTGTTTTGAAACTTAAACCATTTTCATAATAAACTAGGACTTAGGTCCATGCACTTTCAAAACATTTTCATGAATAAATTTCAATCAACTTAATAATACCTTGATAATTTTTGTGAGAAGACTAAAAGTCAATCAATCTCATTTCAAACCATTTTTGCCACTTTGGCTTTTTACTTAAAAAAAACTTTTCTCAAAAGATTAGACTCTTATCAATCCTTGTAGTGATGCAAACAACTATACTTCTATAATATGTAGTGAAGAGAGATATTTTCCACTTGGGTATTGAGTGAGGCGTTGTTGATTTTGAAATCCAAGCCATATTCTCCACTTTGAGATGATGAAAATTATTCTTTCTCATGATTGTGGGTAGTAGGTGTGTTTTCCATACGAACAATGACGATGATATTTTATCTTATAAAATTAACCAACGCATTTGTGTTTCAAATTTTTAAAAGAGAAACTACGTGTATCCTGACCCCCTATTGCACGAAAGGTGGTACGTAGGCACTAAAGGTTCACAACCGCGGCGGGTGAAAAAATCATAAAAAATATATTTATTTTTCTCACCTCCACCATCTATTTTACATGTAACATTTTATAGCCAAAATATACAGGTTTTTCAAAGAGGTTTCTGCGGAGTACCGTAGATGTTTGGGGTGCTAATACCTCCCCTTTGCATAACCAACCCCCTTACCTTGAATCTTTCCCCCCTCTTTTTGGGTTATTCTCTCTTTTACCATTCCTTTGGAAATAATAAAGCGCGGTGGTGATTTTGATTTTGATTTGTATAAAGTCTAGTCAATTCAATGGCTTAGTCTTGAATATTTCTACTGCTACAGAAAAATGGAGACTTCACTAGGGAAAGATTGACCTCTTGTTGGTCCATCCCTAAGTGGATTGAGCCTATCTTTGTTTATATCTGTATATGTGCTATTGTTGTTTATGTGTTATATGCTGTATATCTGTTTGCCTGGATTTTCTTGGTTTTTAGGGTGCTTGGTGATTACTCATAAGTCCTATACCCGGACTTGGGCAAACTTTAAGATAGAACGGGCGGTATAGTCATGTTAACTTTGAGGGAGTAATCCCAAAAGAGGAGGCATAAGTGTTGGTGTAAGCCCTAGAGGCCAATACTTTTGGTACTTGTATCGAATTAATTATTAATAATAAAAGGCATTTCTTTATTATGTTTGCTTTCCAAAATAATAAAGTCCCTAGAATGGTTTATTTGTTTAATGAAATGTTAAGTGTGACTTAATCATGAGATCCCATTAAACATAAGACACTATTCTTAAAGTATTCGTAGTCAAGCTTTAATGTGAAGTGGGATAACATTAAAGCATTAAGATTATTATGAAGATAGACTGATGATCACATCTCATGGATCATAGATAAGGAGTTATCAAGTCTTGACATAGGTATGAATATTAGGAGTAATATTTATACTGGATTGACCCGCTATGAGAATACTACATAGAATGTTATGCAAAGTGTCATAAGTTATTCTCATGATGATAATGGTGTATACCACCCTTCGACCTGAAACCACTATGGACCCTATATGTAGAGTCAAGTACTTTATTGCTGATCAAACGTCATCCGTAACTGGATAACTATAAAGACGGTTGATGGGTACTTCACAAAGCATGCTAAGGGACATGAGTGACCTAGATGGAATTTGCTCATCCTGCATAACAGGATAAATGTCTAAGGGCCCAATATTGAACTGGACAAGGGTGACACAGTGTATGCCTTGTGTTCAATATAGACATGAGGGCAAAAGGGTAATTGTACAACACAAATATTATCACGGAAAAGGTTTGGTCAGATCACATGACATTTTCGTGACTTGGGTAACAGTGATGTGTTGCTAGATACCGCTCACTATTTATATATTAAATGTGTGATTTAATATAATTGCCAACGTCGCGAAAACCTATAGGGTCACACACATAAGGACAGGTTGATGAGAGATAGAATAAATAAGGAACACCGTAAGGTACGGTGTACTTAAGTGTAATACGGAAAGTGGTAAGGTACCACGTGGATAAGTGATATATGGTACATCATAAGGTATGATGTCCATAAGCTTAATTGGGCTTTTAGCTTATAGCCTTAATTGGGCTTTTAGCTTGTAGCCCACACGAGTGATTCTATAA